TATGTAATACGTACAGTTTTAAACGTTATCACGAAATTTGTTGAGGTTAAAAACAACTCCCGCAATGAACTTTATGCTGACTTCACGTGGTGTACGACTGTAATTGTAAATTCATTAGTTGGTAACTCATATAGAGTACCTTCATGCGGTATATTGGCCATAGTGGTTCGAATCTTGGACGGATAGACGTAAAATAGACGACTTGCGAAATGTTACCGTTTATGATGGATCTAAAGACATCTGAATCAATCCGGCTTATATATTCTATTCGGTACAATTTTGTTTTATCAAATCCACTGCGTATGTTATATGAAATATATTTGATGAATTATTACATTCCCAGACAGCATGATGACCTCATATAATACTCCTAAAGAGTTCCAAAAATTTTTCTGAGTTGATAAATTTAGATCAGAAGGTGGTTAGAACGTGCTTATAATGTACTCGGATGCGTCGACTTCTGAACTCATTTTGATTTCATCATAAAGAGCTTTTTATGCATATAACCTAGTAAACGAGAAATTATTGAAAGTTCAGAAATAGGATTAAAAATTACCGAGAAGAATTTATTTACGATGATGCTGAATTTTATTTAATTCTTCTCAATAATTTTCAATCCTATTTCTGAACTTTCAATAATTTCTCGTTTACTGGGAACAAATATACCTCAAAAAATTACATGTGAAAAATTGCGTCAGAGATCGTTGTACCAGAAACAATTTCACACACTGCGTGTTTTTTATGCACTGCGAACTGCGAAATTTGGAAAGTACTTTGTGGGTAAATATAAATAACAAAGAGAATAATCGACGAACAATATATGGATGACCAACAAGAATCCAGCCGAGTCAGGTTGGGTGATGCGTGTTTTTTGTTTTCACGCATCATATTATATGATGTCAAAATAAGCTAATTATGAAGAACTATTTTGTGTTAGAAATATAAGTTCATAGTGAGCTCTTTTTGATTTACTGTTAAAGAACTCAAAAAAGAGCACTTTTAGACAATTTTTTGTAATCATTTTAGCAGATCATAAAGAATTAAAAAAAAAATACTTTTTGAACTCTTTCTGGAGATTCTGCTGTCTGGGTAGAGAATTGTAATATGTTTTGCTTTTTTAATAATTTAATATTTTAAAAATTATGAATATTCTTCTGTTAATTAATCGAAATGACGATTTGTGTCTTAAACTTAAAAAAATTTGTCTCTATCAGAAAGTATAAATACATATAGGAGGTACAGGAGAAATAACGAATTCTTTTGATACAAATAAGAAAATGCATTTATTCTCGTACGAAAAGAATACAAAAATTACAAGAAATTATGTGTGTATAATACTAAATACACATTTACCACCTACTTTGCGCTACCAATCGTTCTGCTTACGGTGAATTGCGCAACACTACAAACGCGGCCGTTAAACAAGAGTATCGGGTTAGTGTAATTATAAATAAATGTACGGACGAGAGTATATACGGTGTGCGTGAAATACTGTCGCGTCCGTTCTCGCATTCTTTAATGCACGATGATAGTCTGCTTGCCCGAGTTCGCCGCGGTCGCCTTTCACAAACGGATTCCTGGGTTTCGGGACGCGACAAAAGTGAGGAGTTCGTCGCTATCCTCGCACACGAAGGGCTTCACGTGATGACACGCCACGTCGTGCCATTTGATGCCGTCATTGTAGAAGTTGTTCAAGATAGACAGGCAAGACTCATCGTTACCCTGTAAATGAGTGAGGTAATGAAATTTTTGATAAAAGACTGTCTTTGATAAAAAATCAACATAAGTTCTGGCTTTTGAGTACCTTTCTATAGCCATTATTCTTGCAATTTTAGTGTATTTAATTATTAATCCAAATTATTGATTCAAAAACATCGTTTGATTTTCTATTTTATGAAAAATCATAATTTTTATAATTTTAGAATGAGAATAGAAGTTCTCAGCTGATTATGAGAAATATTAGCTTTATATTTGATTCATAAATAAAATAGTTTTCAAAAAAATAAATCACTAATTTACTTTGAAAATGACATATCTCTTCTTTTATACAATACTATTAAAACAATAAAACGTTATTATATTTTTGTTTGTAATTATTTTGTAATTAAACATAACGCACAATTAAAGATAAAAATTTTTACAATGTACTTACTGAAAATGCTACATTTCAACTTATGTGCTTTTAAAATAGCATAAACATATTAATATAAGCTACAACAAAATGCATGGATCTTATTTTTCAAGATTTTTCTATGCAATGTTGGAAAACCAAGTAATCGAACTCTTAAATCTATAAATAGATCATAAAAGTTAAAAGAGCGAGACGTTAATGTAAAAATTACCGATGCGAAAGGTCGTATAAATCGGAAGATGAGCACTTTCACTCTATCCTATGAGAATATAAATCAAAGTTTCACGGGGTCGGTATCAAAGGAAAGCGATTAGAATCGATTGCTTAACAAGATTTCAACTCGATATTTCTCTTCTATATAATATATTCTCGAATTTATTTAAAATTTATTTAAAATATTTTTGTCAAAACGTACATAAAAGTGTTTATTGGCATGAATTATCTGAAGTTATATACAATAATTTGGATATTAAAAACTTGAAAAAAGTTGATCAAAGTAGTACCTGTGCAGCTTCGCGGTTGTCCGGTTGCGGTTGACCAAATCCTCCAGTGTTACTCCAGTCTCCGGAGTTACGCTGAGACGTCGGTCCGATCTTAGCACCTGATCCAGACCAGAACCATCCATTGATGTTCTGGGGCTGCAGATCGGGTCGGTCGCAGCCGTTGAAGTTGCACTTACGGCCCGACGTCCAAATGTATCTCACGTTTCCTGATTAAATGGCAGCGCGGATTCAAAACTTTATACTTTTATTCGAGAACTGACAGAGAAATATTCTAATCAAGCTTTTAGTATACAACAATAATGTTTATCAAAAAAGATATTTTAAGATAACGTAAATTTTTTATATAAACTCGCGAAGAAAATAATTAAATTTCTAATTTTTTTTGTATAGAACAGAGCAGTGATTAAACTAAATTATAAGGTAACTCTCTAAACAGTCACTCGTGATCCATCATGGTTATCTTTACTCAGACGTCTGCATCATTGCGCGCTGCGATAAAAACTTCTTTTCTTGTATAAGACAGTCTAAGATTATTGAAATGTGACAGGTATTCATAAACGTTAAATGGCGATGAAGGAGCGTTGGTGAACAGCTGTCATTTTCTTAATGACGCCGGATATCTTAATCAAATAACTTTCTATTATTTGAACAATAACTTGAACAGCTTTGAGTAAAATGTCATATAATCACACTGCAATTAAATAGCTGCAAATTTACTCCATATCTCTATTTCACATAACACTACATCGTGTAATGAACTTGCACTAGATTCTTCTTTGACACGTAAAATATTTTTAAAATAATTTTGCCGAAATTTTGCGAAATCCGACGATCTTTTCATTAACGCGCGCATAAACATTTTCTAAGCGAGATATTCACATAAAAAACAAATTCAGAAAATCTAGATAATACGATAGCTTTTCGAAGTCTGAGCTCACAAAGTTTCGCGTGAATTAATTAAGATAAACCACAATGATATGAAAGTTAAAGCACCGAATCCATGTTTGTACAGTTTTATCTGTCGCCATTAACAAATTAAGTTTAACTCCCCCCCCCCTCAACATTTCCTTATTGTATTTTAAATCTGCGGTTTCCCGCAGCACGCAAAACCAGTTTTCGTGATTTCCGATGTCTGAAATATTTAAAGTAATAGTAGATAGATGTATAAATTATAAGGAATATTATTTAACCGTGGAATTAATTAGAATTTATTACTTGAGAGTTTGAGAGAAAAGAAAGTGGGTGAAACAATAGATTAGGAGAAAACGCGCGCATGAAACTTTGACTGAAAAATTTCTAAAGAATTATCTCATAAGAATTATACACATATAAATTGTCAATTGAGTGAAATAACATAAAATTTTTTTATTCGTACAAGTAAAATTCCAAAAAAAAAAAAAAAAACAAGCAACACCGATGGAATTTATTATGCGGAAAAATTATGCAGAATAATATATCTCTGAGAAACGATATAGACATTACTTTGGAATAAATGAAATAAATAATACTATTTATTATCGGCATTTAAACCTGCCACCAAATTTGTGCATTGTCGATACGTGTCGACTTGTCGTAAATCGGCGGACTCTACATTATATATTATTTTAACACTAGGATCAAAGTCGATCGCTAATACTCTCTTTGGTGGCAATATACGTCCCATTATCGTCGACAGGTAGCGAAGAATTCAAGCTCGGAAGACAAATCGTTGAATTGCAAGTACCTACATAAAGTCCCTTTCACGTCGGCTCCTTTTTCTACGCGGGGCAACGACGGTCAAGTGAAAGTGACCCGCTTCGCTGGGTATAGGGGTATGCGCGAACATCTCTAGTCACCTACGAATCTAAATTGCAACTCAAATACCGCGCTGAGCAATCGGCGGGGATCAAATGGGGTCGTAAAGAAATGACGAAGAGAAATGACGAGCTGTCGCCAGGGAGAAGCGTTGCGCCACCGAATCCGCGGACGCGCCTAATCGGTCGCCCTGCCTCCCCGCAAAACTTAATCACGCCTGCACCGTTGTGCAATCGAGCCTGGAAATTGACCGAGAAGGATTCCGCTTTTACTTCTCACGTGCCCGAGCGGCGTCTACTTTGTTGCATTCGCAGGATCTATAAAGTTTTCGAGAACAAAGCGCGATTAGCGCCGAAACGCATCCTTCCATAACGTTGATGAGATTCTTCGCCATTCGCCTTTTTTTTGTTTTTGATACCGTAAAATTGATGGATTGCGAAGTTCACTATGGCAAAACTTGAAATCCATTTAAGTACGGTTCTCTCTTCGAGAAGTTACAAAACACGGAAGATATTGTTTATTGCTTGATTGCATTCGAGATTAAGAAGGATTGAGCAAGATACTTCTCTGTCTTTTATAAAAATTTTGTGAGAAAATGATTGCATTTGATAATAGATACAGTATAATTGAGATAATCTTTGAGAAATTTATTGTGATTATTCATCTTGCAAACTGCTAATTGGTTTTTCATTGCATTAAAATAGTTTTCGGTTTGCAGACGAGACGTTGAAATATTTAATGACATAATTTCTCTGATATAATCAATAATATCTTCATGCGCGTAGAATAAAGGCCGCAAATCTTTCATTAATATGACATTGGCATACTTTGTGTTACGAAATCTTTGATCAGAATGATCGTGATCAATTAATTATTGTTTAATCTTTAATTTTATCGGCTGTCTGACCGATCACGAAGCTGAATCTGCATAAATGCAAAAAAGATTAATAAGAATGACGATCAAACTGTTACCTCTTTCAATCATGATTGAGAATAATCATATATTATTTCCTTCTTCTCTGAGAGAGAGAGAGAAAGAGAAAAGAGAGAGAGAGATAGAGATAGAGATTGATAAAGTATTCGACAAATTATCAACATTAGAGACACTTTGTTATCGAGACATAATACGTGATTGACTATTCTTTATCACAGCACACATTAAAAAAATCAATAAATCTTCCATTTATCAATTCTTTGATTATCGGAATCTGTAAATAACAACTTGCAAGTCTTGTGTGAAAAACAGGGATTACTCATAAAAGATTAAACTGTAAACTTTTGCGAGAAAATAATAAAAAGCAAACGGCAATCAGTAGACCGCGACTCCATCATCACGGCAACTTACCTCTCGCTAATCTCTGCTTGACGAATTCGTTCTCTTGAGGAGTCTCCAGGGATACGGCGTCCATGCAGTGACGACGGCAGATGTTGCGAGCATCCAGCCAGTCCACCTCGAGATTTCTGGTTGGCGCATGTTCCCAGCTGAAGAAGTACGAGTGAGCAACTCCTCTGCCATCCCTGTACGTCGCATGACGGACGCCTGAAGAATGAATGCGTTAATGCGTCATTAATAATAATCGTTAATCGCAGTCGCATCTTAATACCGGCTGATGACAGACTTCGGTGTGATACATCAATCAATTCATAGAAATCTATTATATCTTCGAGAAAGGAAGATGTAAATCTCTGTGCTGGAGCGCCTGATTCAGCGACTTTATAATTACATATCTCATCTATTTCTTTTCAAGTGGAGAAGTGCGCGTGCATAAAGACGTCTCAAAAGATACATCCGTACAAATATCTCAAGGAATTTAACACTATTATTAAAGAAAAAAAAAAAGAATTTAGTTTGTATTATAAAATCGCGCATTACAAAAGATCGCAAGTGGTGCGAATTTGAGGTGCGAGCGACGATTAATGCGAACTAATTTACATGAAGCTGCAGCGAGATTGCGACACGAGAAATGCGTTATAATGAATGAGAAACGTCGTCCTGCGCTCGTCCTCTTTTTTTCCGACTCCGGTTTCCCCGTTATTTTCCACCTAGTTAGTTGTGCAGTCGCTGACTCCGAGTGTGATTGCGAAATGTCACTGGAAATACTTACGATTCGCGCAGCTTCGTGGATCGGGCAAGGCTAAGCGACGCTGGGCACTCACGGCGACAACGCCGAGGAGGAGCAAGTAGATGGCCCTCATACTCCTAGACCTGAAACATAAGAATAGAGCGATTATTTACAAATGTGTTTCGCAAGAGATGTCACTGCCGGTCGGATCGTTAGGCAACTTATTGGCGGACTTGGCAATATAAACAGTCAAGGTTGCTCAGAATTCCTATTGCTATAAAATCTTCATACCACATCTTGTGTGCATATATCATTATTTATTTCCCAAAAGATAATTAACTAATTTCGCCAAAGTTCAGTTTTTAATGGGAAAAATAATGTCGTAAAAACTATTTTAGCTGTGCATTATAGAATTTCTAAGTATGAGCTCTTGGAAAATTCTAAATTCATCGCTCTTAGGCAAGCATAATCGTTAATTAGCTCGATGCCGCAATTTTGTATAACACGCGCGGCACATCCGCGACGCAACATGCATGAGAATGCACACTAGGCGCTTAACGCAACATGAGTGAGAATTATCGAATTATCTGATCACTATTGTGGAGGTATGACTGTCCTAAAAATTGTAAGAAGCTGGGAAAAATGACGCATTTTTTATATACCATGAAAATATAACTAAAATTCTCTAAAAATCCAGCTTACTCAATTTTGAGAAAAGTACAGATTAATTAATATAACAATGAGTTGTTTATTACTCATATTAGCGATCTTATGCCAATGATAAACTGTTTCAAGGATGTTCACGAGAACAAAAATATTCCCATACTTCGACAATAATACTTCGTATACTTCGTACTACTTTTTATGCTGCCGGCGCTGTGTAATTATAGAAGTGTGGAACAAGTTGAACTTCCTAAGCTCCATAACATTTCTCTTGTTTTTCATTGCGATAAAATCAACAATGCATTTCGTACTAATTATGGTTCAATGTCATTTATTAAAAAGGCATTACAAGTATGATAATAATTCAAGAAGATCGGTAATGACAGTTTCGAACATTAAAATATGAAGTTTTTACGCAAATACTGATTACCTATGCAAGACACTCGCGAGAGATGCCAAGTGTCATAGATCAGGGTAGCATTATGGAATTTATAAGAAAGTCGGCGATTCTTTGAAACTGGAACACACTGAACATTTGCCAACGCCATTGAGCGTGTTCAGCAGTTCGAGGTTACGGGGTTATAAGGCTTTTATAATGCCCACATGTACTGAATATGCAACGCAAATCCTAATCATTAAAATTTTTTACACAATTCCTACAAATCTTCAAGATCAGATTTTATTAACTTATTATGCAATTTTCTTAGTCAATTTAATATAAAATATTAAATATCTAAAAAATTGAGCTAGAGAAAAATGAATTACACAATTAAATTAATTTCGGAAATCTTACGTCATATTTATTATTATTATTTAAAATATTTTTTCTCACAATTAATTTATAACTTGCGTTAATAGAGCGAACATCGGACTTTTTGCTTATGCCATCCGGTTTTTAACATATAATAATTATTCAATACTAATTAATAAATGTTGTATAACAATTGCTACAATTATCGATTATTTCACGATCAATGTCCTCACTCGATTCGACTTTAAGACTAAAATAACGGCGAGTCGAATTATAACTTCCGGATTGATTTCGATTGACACGCAAACGTCAACGCTTCGTGATGATCTTACTAATGATTATTATCCATCGACAGGACAAATGCTAAGTGAACCACTTTCTAAGAGATTAAGTGACGCGGCAAAGCCATTGTATAGAGCGATATAGAGCGATCGAGTAAAAACAACTTTATGGTTTTCCGAATTATTATTTCGTTCTGATTCTCGATGCTTTCAATTCAGAAAGCAATACTTTGCACAGTTGATATCAAGGAAAAAGAAGTTGTGTTTTTTTACGATTTTTTTTATTTGATTGTAACCTAAATTCACAATTTGTTTCTGATTTTATCTGTGATAAAACTGTCTTGCATAAAAAAAATTGGTAAATCTTTATTAATGGAAAATAAATAAAAAATACAAGTTTATGTGAAAAAAAGACGCTAGGAAAAACTACTTTCTATGAAATTATTTATTATTAATTATCTTGTTTAACTATATTGTATGTTCAGGTGACAATGTACGTCGGTATTGTTATTTATGTACGATCAATTGAATCATGAATCTGCTAAATGATAATTCAGTTACTGCAGAATCAATATTCATTAGTCATCGTATATCAAACACTATAATAGTCTTCTTTTACTCTGCCAATACATTACAAAAACAATGTACAGGTTTTCATGTTCGCTATACGGCCAAGAGATACGACTTGACGTGAAGGTAAATGGCGTTTTCACATTAGAATATCATTAATATTTATGTGACACTGACACAACAAACCGCGAAGATGGACACAGCCCATCTCAGCTATAAGAAATTAAGAATCCGTAAAACCTTGGCATGCTTAAAGGCGATACAGTCTAATCTCTATTTCACGATTAGTGCAATACGTTAAAACTAAATAAAATCGTGATAAGCACCGTATCGCCTTTCATCATATTCATCTTCTATGGAAGAATGATCTTCCGACAAGCCCGTATCATTTCCTTCGCGTGTAGCCGCCAATTAGAGAGAAGAGCGTAGGAGTTATCGTGACATCGTAATAATAACGTGCTATGCGGACGCCTGTTAAATGTATACCGCGTGAAATGGAGTATTCGGATTGAAAGCTATGAAAGGATTAATAACTCAACGCTAGAATAGAGGTTGATGATTATGAGGACAGTAGGTAATATTTAGCGAGATAAAACACTACGTGCGATGGTCGCTTTTAATGGATGAAACTAAAAAAAGGATACGAAATGAAAGAAGAAAGAAATTTATGCATCAAATAAATTGAGACTAGCATCTTTTTCATGTAATTACTTCGATAGATTTGAATTTGTTACTTTCACTTCTTAACTCGGTTTTAGAAAAGAAATTAATACATTTTCCTTTCTTGCACTGAATATTAAATTAATAGTTTTAAAAAGAATAATCTAAAATTCACTTAATATCATTTTTATATTTTATTATAATAAATTCTATTGTAATTGTAATTTATTGTAATAAAATGGAAAAATACAGAATATATGATATCGTAATTTAAAAAAGAAATAACCTGTATGCTTAATTTAATTCTTTCGTGGCATGCTTCTTTAGTTTTACAATTATATTTATTGTTTATATCTTTCATAAACCTACTCAGGAATAAAACTATGAAATACTCGAGTGTACTTCATAGCTAGGAATCTATATAACACATCGGGTGAAAGGGTTAATGATGCTTTAATGATATGTTAAAATCCCTTCCCTTCTAGATGTAGATTCAGTTCTCTCGATATGTAGACATAGCATTAACATAATCAATAATCATTAAGTGGTTTCAACGAGTAATCCCTTTTTTTATTAAGGTTACGAAACCCCTTCTTATTGCATCACTTACGAACTCTCATCACCTGACAATCTTACACCAACAGCCTCTTCTTTACTGGGACTTTTAGCGTCACAGTAAAGCGACATGTGTGGAGAACATAATTTTTTTAGATAGAAACACGACAAGGCATTCCGCGCCTCGTGCTTTCTCGATTACGATCGTGGCGAACGGATGCCGCGGATTTGGTTGTTATATCGAGTCTGGTTGTGCAAATCTCTTACGAAAGAACTTTTCCATGCGCGAGCACAAGCGGACCTCATTAGTGTGTTTTCAGTATATTCATCTACGCAATTTTCCTCTTTGAAACACCTCTTCTCTCGTGGGTCAACGATCTTTTTTATCTTGCACTTTACAATACAGCTGTAATGCACCTAACATTTTCTTAATAATATGCAAACCGTATGTACAAACCAATTTGTTGCGCAATTTGATTTAATAGAACCGACTGAAATTGAAAGAGGGGAAAACAATTAATTGACAATAATAATAATAATAAATTTTTTCTGAATTTGTATATTGTTTATATATATAAATTATTTGTTTATAAATTATATATAATTTATAAATAATATAACGCTGTGAAGAATCGAAAATCCAACTAGATACTTGCGCAAAATGTATGTAAAAAGACGAACAGGAGGCCACTTTTTCGCAAACCCGTTGCACATGTAAACTACAATACGCGGCATGCATAATTCGCGAGATCGCATTCAGTGGCCCAGCCATTGTTCCATGTGAAGCGCTATGTGGTAATGTGGTATAACATCTCTGGATTTTCGGATATGAGATCACCACTAAAAATAGGATATCAGTTTGCACATGAATATTTTATCGCAGAATTGCATAACTAATTTAATTCCATTTATTGATCTTTTTTTACCTTTTTTCCCCTTTTTTTCTATTTTTGATTTTTTTCTGTGTTTGTTTATTTACGATTGTTGTTACAATAAATTAATTTTATACTTGTTATTGTTATTTAAAAATGTCTACTGCAGAGTTTTTTTCATGAGAAATTGAAGGCTCCTTCAGTCACGGGACTATAGGCTCTATTTCATACGGAAGTATGCCAAGGTAAAATTCCTGGACCAACCTTTTTTGCCCCCCACTGCGAGCTTATGGGCGAGAAAAACCATCGGAAAAAAAAGTGGTCGACACCGATCGAAGTTCAGTGACCCTCTGAGCACGTAAGCTGTTGTATTTTTTATGATCAATCAGATTGATCGATCGTAAATTTGATTGATCGTAAACTCCCGGCGTTCTTTCCGTTTGAGCGTTGCAGAGGAAATGATTTCCAATACACAATCGAATACTTATTCCGTCTAAAAATTGTACACGTTACAGTTTAGAATAATAGCTGTACCTCTCTAGATTTTTCCAAGCTTAATTGTGCTATAAGTAGTTTCCAACTGAGATTCTTCTCACGTACTTTATCGTTTCACATCGCGTCCAAAACGCGGAAGCACTAACGCTACAATGTATCGCTATTATATGATGCAACGGCAGTTAATTAACGTAATTCAAAGGTAGGCACTAATTTGTTGCGCGCCATATTGCTCTCCACAAATCGAGAAACACGAATATTTCGCTGTTAGGCAGGGTGTTACGCAAAGTCAATTA